CCCTTGCATGGCTCCTGCTTCTCACAACCCCCCGCCTCCCTGCCCCGTCCCGATATCCGGAATTTTCAGAAAACCGGCATGCCAGCTAACACAGGTTTTACTGTATTATGAAAATGTCTACAAGTAAATGAATATTATATGGTTTAGTTAAAAGTTACTGGTATTTAAAAGCAATGTTGATTTTGTATGATTTACTTTGAGGACTGTATGGCTCCTGCTTCTCACAACCCCCCGCCTCCCTGCCCCGTCCCGATATCCGGAATTTTCAGAAAACCGGCATGCCAGCTAACACAGGTTTTACTGTATTATGAAAATGTCTACAAGTAAATGAATATTATATGGTTTAGTTAAAAGTTACTGGTATTTAAAAGCAATGTTGATTTTGTATGATTTACTTTGAGGACTGTAAGAAGCAAATAAGTTAATGTCTCAATTTTGTCTTTGCCAGTATACCTCTAGTGTGGGATTTTCTCCTTGCATCCATTGATAACCTGTATTTTTATCATTATTTTATAGCCCCAGTGTTTTGTAATGTACAGTTTTGATGTAACACAATTATTGGAAGTGGCAGTCAATAGAGGGTATGAGGTTACAGACTAATCTAATTTTAAACCAGTGGAAGTCCTCTGCTTTTTCTGCTGACTTTTCAAATATCTGTTTTGCCTCTTTCATCAGAACATATATTCTGTCATCTAGTGTCTCTTCTGTCATTTTGCTCAGCAACTAGAGAAGCTCTTCACAAGGGGGGGGGAGAAGAAAGGAAGGTAGTCGATTTCTTTGATTTCATTTGACTTAAATGGGGTTTCAGAAGATGCACCTCATTTTAACCCTTTATTAACTTTTGACTAAATGCAGTCTTTATCTAGAACCTGTATCTTCTGTTTTTGTTGATGGGGAAAACAATTTTACTAGGATGGGGACAGTAACCTAGGGTGAGGGCTGGACTTGACTCTTGGGGGAGGGGAGGAGGTAGTGGAAGGTGCAGGGTCTTGGGAGGAAGGGGCAGGGCTGGGGCTTGCCTTCACCCACTGTCTGTGTCTGAGCCAGTCTCGGTAGAGTCTATGGGTAGCCAAGATTTCAGATCAATCATTTGAGCATGTGTTAAAGTATAATCTATGCTATTAGTTAGTTAGCTAAAATGCTGTCACATCTCTTTATCCTAATCTACAAAAGACCTAAGGCAGATTATATGTGGGTTTCAGTGTGGTTGTTGAAAGAGGTAGATGTGACACTTGCCCCAGTTGAAGTTTACTTTTAACTGTGAATTTGTTGTGGGTATTCTCTGGGTTACTTGCGTCTCTGCCAGATGTAGATTTTTTTTAAATGGGTGCCAAAATTTAGGATTTCTTGCAGAAGAGTTTGAATGTATTGAAATCCATCAGTGGGGATTTTTTTCTCCCCAAAGCAAAACAGGTCAGTATCTGGTTATGTGATAGAAATGTAGCCGTGTTAGTCTGGTGTAGCTGAAACAAAAAACAGGACTATGTAGCACTTTAAAGACTTGTTAGTCTTTAAAGTGCTACATAGTCCTGTTTTTTGTTTTATCTGGTTATGAATATCAAAGATTTTTAGCTGGAATCTAGTCTTAAATTTTAAAGAATGTAGATTACACAGAAGTGTTCTTTTACTGACTTTTCTGTATTTTACATTGTGCCACAGATGGTAGAAGAAAATGGAGTTCGTAAGGTGGTGGTATTACCACATTCGTCTGACTTCCATCCTTCCATGCATCCCCCTCCACCACATGTGCCACATTACATGCATCCTCACCCTGCTTTGCTTCCCCACCCACCTCATCCAGTGTACTCTCCAGTTCCAGGGACAGGAGAAATACCTCCACAGTTCATTCACCAACCTCCTCCACCACCACATGTTTATCAAGAACAAGGTAAGACTTGCTGATACTGTGTTTTAACTGACACAGGGGTATAGTCTCATGGTGAAGGCACCAGGGCTATAAGTCAAAAAACCTGCATTCTGTTTGCCACTCTCACAGACTGTGCAAGCTTGGATAAGTCATTTAGAGCTAAATTAATAAAGTTACTTAGGCATCAAACACCAAGATTTAGGCACCAATGCAATGTACAAAACCCTCATTCAACTGTCAAATAGTTCTGTAGATGCCCAAATTTAGTACCTAAACTTTCACTGTAGAAGTTCTCTGACTGTCTAACTTTGGGCGTATGGGCAGGTATACTGCTGCATCAAGCAGACATCTGGGTTCTTGTCTCATACCTAAGTCCTAGTGCAGTGTGTGTTAAACTTTTTGAGACCATGGAACACCAAACAATAATAATTTATGCGGAACACTGAGGGTATCCAGATGGTTTTTAAAAAAAATACCGGATAAAAATCTGTTGGGGGGAGGGGGGGAGACACCAGGGAGACCTTGGGCCGAAATGTGGTTGCGGCCCCTTTAATTACTACGTGTTCTGAGCGGGCTTCCGTTAGGTGCCAGGAAAAGCTGAGAAACTTAATTAGAAAATACCCTAGGAACACCTATGAAAATTTCCTTAAAAAAATATTTTGTGGCACAAAGGGAGGGGGGGGGGGGTAGAACGTCCTAGTGCAATCATTAAACTAGGGAGAGAGAAGTAAGGCCTGTAAGACCTGATGTGCTTGCTGTGTTCTGAGAACACCTAATTCCCCACACAATTTTAAAAGATTATGGGATACATTCTACTGTTAAAGCCATTTCAATTTAATTATATGGTCCAGTGGTTAGGGCACTGACTTGACAGGTGGAGGATCCTTTCTCATCAGGCAGAATGGGAAATTGAACGTGGGGCCTACTACATCCTTGGGTATTAAGGGAGAGGCCTCTCCATTTTGTGTTTAATATAGGTAGGAGCCTAAGCTGTCTGGCTTCAGGATCAGGGTTCCCAGCTGTGATTGTGAATGGTAGAAGGGAGAACAGCAAAACAAAGAGAATGGATTTCAAGAAAGTAAACTTAAGGTATGTCTACACTGCTGGCTTTTGCCAGCAGAGAATGCAAATGAAGTGCTGATTAGCATTTTGCCACGCTTCATTTGCATAATCTACTCCGAACTGTTTTTGCACAAGGGGTTTTTGCATAAGGATTTTGCGCAGAGGAAACGTCCACACTGCTTGTTTTTGCTCAAAAATGGCTCGGAATAGATTATGCAAATGAAGCATGACAAAATGCTAATCAGCACTTCATTTGCATACTCTCTGCTGGAAAAAGCTGTAATGTAGACAAAGCCTCAGAGCTGGTCGGTAAGGTCCCATGGGAAGTAAGACTAAGAGGGAAAACTGAAGACAGCTGACAGGTTTTCAAAAGGACATTATTAAGGGCACAAGAGCAAATGATTTCACTATATAGGAAAAATAGGAAGTATGGCAAAAGACCGCCTTGGCTTAACCAGGAGATCTTGAATGATCTAAACATTCAAAAGGAATCATATAAAAAATGGAAACTAGGTCAGAGTACAAAAGTTTAATATAAACAAATGACACAAGTATGTAGTGGCATAATTAAAAAGGCAAGAGCATAAAACAAGCTTAATCTAGCTTAAGACATAAATGGTAACAAGAAAATATTCTGCAAATGTATTAGAAGTGAGACACACCAAGAATAGGGTAGGCCCATTGTTCAATGAAGAGGGAGAAACAATAACAGAAAACATGGAAATGTCAAGAGGTGCTAGATGACTTCTTTGTTTCGGTTTTCACAAAGAATGTTGGCGGTGACTGGATGACTAACATAGTGAATGCTAGTGGTAATGAGGTAGGATCAGAAGCTAAAATAGGAAAAGAATAAGTTAAAATTATTTAGAAAAGTTAGAGGTATTCCAGTCACCAGCGCCTCATGAAATGCATCCCAAAATACTCAAGGTGCTGATAGAGGAAGTATCTGAGCTATAAGCGATCATATTTGAAAAGTCATGGCAGTCGGGAGAGATTCCAGAAGACTGGAAAAGGGCAAATAGTGCCCATTTATAAAAAGGGAAATAAGGACAACCCAGGAAACTATAAACCAGTCGACTTAGCTTCTGTGCCAGGAAAGATAATGGAGCAAATAATTAAGGAGTTCATCTGCAAAAATCTGGAAAATAATAAGGTGATAAATAAGTCAGCATAGATTTGTAAACAAATCATGTCAAACCAGTCTTGATAGCTTTCTTTAATAGCCTAGCAAGCCTTGTGCATAAGGGTGGAGCAATAGACATGGTATACCTACACTTTACCAAAGCTTTTGACATGGTCTTGCATGACCACCTCATCAAAAAATGAGGGAAAAACAACCAAGGTGGGTGCATAACTGGTTAGAGAGTAGTCATTCATGATACACAACCATGCTGCAAGTGCATCACAAATGGGGTTATGCAGAGGTCAGTTTGGGGACTGGTTCTGTTCAGTATCTTCAACTATTTAGATAATGGTGCAGAGTGTTCCTGTAAGGTTTGCAGATACCACCAAGCTGGGAGGGGTGCAAGTGCTTTGGAATATAGGATCATAATTCAAAATGATCTGGACAAACTGGAGAAATCGTCTGGGGTAAATAGGATAAAGTTTAATAAGGACAAATGCAAAGTACTCCACTTAGGAAGGAACAGTCCATTTCTCACACACAAAATAGGAGTGACTGTCTAGGAAGGAGTACTACAGAGAGAAATCTAGGGCTCATAGTGGACCATAAGCTAAATGAGTCCACAATGTGAATCTTGGGGGGGGGAGGAGGGAAGCACACATGATTCTGGGATGCATTAACTGGAGTGGTGATAGAAATGTAGCCATGTTAGTCTGGTGTAGCTGCAACAAAAAACAGGACTATGTAGCACTTTAAAGACTAACAAGATGGTTTATTAGGTGATGAGCTTTTGTGGGCCAGACCCACATCCTCAGATCAAATAGTGGAAGAAAATTGGCACAACCATATATACCAAAGGATACAATCAAAAAAAGAACACATATGAAAAGGACAAATCAAATTTCAGAACAGAAGGGAGGTGGGGGGGGGGAGTAAATGTCTGAGCTAATGATATTAGAGGTGATAATTGGGGAAGCTATCTTTGTAATGGGTAAGATAATTAATGTCTTTGTTTATACCGAGGTGTAAAGTGTCATCACCTAATAAGCCATCTTGTTAGTCTTTAAAGTGCTACATTAGTCCTGTTTTAACTGGAGTGTTGAGAGACACAAGAAGTAATTCTTCCGCTTTCCTCTGCATTGATTAGGTCTCAGTTGGAGTAGTGTGTCCAGTTCTGGGCACTATATTTCAGGAAAGATGTGGAGAAGTTGGAGGGGGTCTATAGAAGATCATCAGAATGATTAAAGGTCTAGAAAACGTGACCTATGAAGGAAGATTGAAAGAGTTGGGTTTGTTCAGAAAAGAGAAGACTGATAGGAGACATGATAGCAGCTTTTAAGTACCTAAAAGGGGGGTCACAAGAAGGAGGGAGAAAAAATATTTTCCTTAATCTCTCATGGTAGTACAAGAAAAATGGGCTTCAAATTGCAGCAAGAGAGGTTCAGGTTGGACATTAGGAAAAACTTAACTGTCAGGGTGGTTAGGCACCAGAATAAATTGCCTAGGGAGGCTGTGGAATCTCCATCATTAGACATTTGTGAAACCTCTAACAGTGATGATCTAGATGATACTTTGTCCTTCCATAAGGGTAGGGGTCTGCACTTGAAGGGACCTTGAGAGGTCATCCAATTCTAGTGTTCTATAACAGGTTGGAAACCCCCCATCATGCATGCCACAAGCAGCATACAAGGCATGTGGGGCGGGAACTCAGCCCTGCCCCTCCTGCCCATGCTGTGGCTCGAGCCTCAGCTGTGCAGCTACAGGCTGAAGCATTAGCTCCAGCTTCCTACTGGGGAGGAGGGCTGGGAGAAGTGTGCATGCTCTGCCTGCCCCAGCCCTGGAGCTACAGCCTGCTGCTGTGGGGCTGGGAGAAGGTCCTTCTCTTTCCCCTTCCCTCTGGCCTCTCCTTGCCCTGGTGCTGCTCCTGGGGGGCTGAGAGTCCCAGTACTGCTACCGTGCTGGTGAGTGTAGTGGGGGCAAAGGTATGTGGGGACATGAAAGAGGATGCGGGGGCAGGATGGGAGGGGGCAGGGGTTGCACTGAGGGGCATAGGGTGATGAAGGAGATCAGGCTGGGGGGCATCATAGGGCTGAGAGGACTGAGGCAGGAGCAGAGGGAAGATGTGAGGGGGGGATACAATTTTTCTTTGCAGAAGCTGCAGTTTCCTTTACTCCCCACTTCTTTGCCTTCCTGCCTGTGCCATAAATAAAGAAAACATTGAAACCTTTTGTATTGGACATAGTATTTTAATGTATTTAAAATGAAGTTTGGTAAACTAACAGAGTTAAAATGCTTAATCTGTTTAAATTAAATTAAACCGTTCTCCCCAATTGCAGGACTAGCAAAATGGCTCCGGCGTAATTATTTAATTAACAATGAGTTTCCAGTAGCAGCTGATAGTCTGCGGAAAGATGTGCATTGACCCAGGTGGTCCATGGGGTGCATGGTGGAGAGAGCTCCTCTCCTCCCCCTCCACCCCCACCCTGGAGAGTGGGATGACCCAGGGCAGAAGGGTTAAATCTTGGCACACCACTTTGGAAAGGTTGCTGACCCCTCTTCTATGATTTGTAAGGAGAGATAAGTGCCTCCTGTAACCCTTTAGGGATGCCACACCCCCATGAGATGGCAGTGCTTAGGAAACATGATTCTTGGTAAGAATTTCTGAATGGCTAGCAGAAGTGGCTCTTGCTAGCTTTTGTGGATCCCATTTTTGGGTGCCTGCCTCTTCTCCCTTCAGTGTAGAGCAGTGTTTCTCAACATTTTTTATAAAGTACCCCCTTAAAAAAAAAAATTTTTAAGTACCCCCAGTACCTACAGTTTTCAGACACACACAATT